TCTCTGTATTGACTGACATGTATGGCATTCCCTTTTGAAAAAGCAATGGGAGTCAATGTAGAGTTATATGTAATCTAGTGTAATAGAAGGAAGATTATGATGATAAAAAAAAAATCTATGCATGGATTTCACAAATATTTTGGATCCAAATAAACTTGTACTTTAATTTCAAAAAAAAAAATCAGATGTTAAAAGATTGGTCTTCAAACATTATAGTCAACGATGCCACATGCTTGCCTGTGATCTCACCAACATACCACATTCACCCTTCAGTGGCCACCAAACCATTCAGCAGAGCTTCTTAACAGTGAGCTGTTTGAAGCTACCAGTTTGAGCACTACTGACTCTGTTTTTCAGGCTCTGAATAGCTGTAGGGATCTCAGTGGGAGTTGGAGGAACCAGCTCAACCTTGGTTGGCATAGTGCCAAAATGTGGCCAATTGAGGCCTTGGCAAAGCGCTGAAGCCTTCTCCACAAAGTTATGTACAAACTGGACCATGGTCTTGGGAGGAAAAGTAAGTCACCCTGAACGGCCAGCTGAATGTCAACCCCTTCCCCACCACTGGCTCCTCTTAAGGACAGAGGCAACTTGTTTCAATGTCTCCATTTTTTTAAAAAATTTCTTTTTCTTTTCTTTTCTTTTCTTTTCTTTTCTTTTCTTTTCTTTTCTTTTCTTTTCTTTTCTTTTCTTTTCTTCTTTTCTTTTCTTTTCTTTTCTTTTCTTTTCTTTTCTTTTCTTTTTCTTTTCTTTTCTTTTCTTTTCTTTTCTTTTCTTTTCTTTTCTTTTCTTTTCTTTTCTTTTCTTTCTTTTCTTTTTTTTTTTTTGAGAGGTTTTTGTTATAGGGCGCATGTACTCGCCAGAAAGACAAAGAGAGACAGAGAGAGAGAGAGAAAAAGCAAGAAATCACCCCCCCCACACACACACAAGGGGGGATGGCCATGCCACAATCCCTTCTCCTACATTCTACTCTCAGGATCTTGGGCATGCATGCACAAGCGCCCAGTGTGAGTTTAAGTCATCAGGTCTAGGACTCAAACCACAGTTGACTACATGGGAGTCCAGCAACATAGCCATTATGCAAACTGCTGGTCACTCCCTGCATTTTTTCCCTATCTGAATTTCATTGCAGAAATCTTGGATAATTCTCTAAGAGTGGATTTTAAAAGGATATTTTAAAACACAGGTTTGCTGAAGGCTATGCTGAGACAACATCTACAGGGAATGACCAAATTTTTATGTTTCTTTATTGAAAAAAAAAAAGAAATGAAGGCCCTCCCCCCCTTACCTGTTGTCTTCCTTTTTTTATTCCATTGATTAAGAAGAATCTTCTGATCTTGGCTCCTTGTGAGACATCTTTTCTCAAATTCCCAATCATATTCTACCTTCTAAGAGGAGAAGAGGATCAAGGTAACTGGGCGAGGCAGAGGGGTAAGCCTGTTTATAAAATCAGCTTTGGGAACTGACCCTGCTCTGACCTGTCCAGATGAACCCCAATAAGCATTCAAATATACAGAGCTTTTTGCAGAACCATTGGAATGTAGTCACAAACACGCGCATGCAGGCATATAGACGTGTGCAGCCTCAGACTGGTTCTGCAAATATATAAGAATAATCAATCATATTACAGAAACATGGACCCTGGGGTAAGCAGATAACATCATGGTTATGTCGTTGTACTCCCACATAGTCAACTGTGGTTTGAGTCCTTGACCTGGTGACCTAAATAAAAACTCACACTGGGTGGGTGTGTTCGTACCCAAGATCCTGAAAAGAGAATGAAGGAGAAGGGATTGCGGAGTGGCCATCCCCCTGGGGGGTGATTCCTCGCTTTCTGTTTGTCTCTCCAGCAAGTGCACATGCCCTATAGCAAAAGTCTCTCTCTCTCTAAAAAAAATGTGTGTGTGTGTATGTATGTATATATATATAAATATAAAAAGAAATGTGGACCTAGCACCTGGATTTACACCTAAGTAAGTGGACAAGTATAATCACAAGATCCAAAGACCTAGGTCATCATATACACGAACACATGGTCAGGCACAATTGCAAAATATCTGGTAAGCCAAAGAGTGATGATCATTCACATACCTTGTTCATGGGGGCACATAGCACCATCCACAGCCACTCTGACTGTCATGCACGTTCCCGCTTCCAATGATCACGTACTCTGAACACTCTACCAGGTGTCTGTTATGCACAATCAGTCATGCCCAATCCTCCATTGACCACAGAATTACATCCCAGTGCCCAGCTTTGCACCTAAATGCACATGTCTGTACTCACATAGACTCATGGTAGATTACGGGAGAGATGTTCCACCCTGGAAAGGCACATACACACTGCTTCCTTTTCCCCAGTGACACATCCTGTCATACATTTAGGGCCATGCACACAGTCACACACAGCAAGACAGATCTGCAGTCTGGCCCTTTGCCCTCAGTGTGCGTTCTGGCTTCTCCACATTTCAAGGGAACAGCAACAGAGGCCCGGTGTGCTTGCCACCGGAGAGCCTGAGGAAGGAGTGACTGGCAATACTTATGAGATTTGGGGCCTTGGGAGTATCTTGGCTTCTTCCCAGGGGCAACAACCCCTCATCCCTTGGTCTTTAGCCCCAGGGCAGGAAGCAGCTCAGCTCTGGGACTAGTTATCCTTTCTCCAGGGCCCAATTTAATAGGGGGGTGGTTGGTACCTCCTCCAACTCAGGGGCATCTGGGAACTCTGTGCATAGCAAAGCTGCTGCTCCTCAATCCCTGTCTCATGAAAGCCAGAAAGAAGGGCCAGGATGACCTGTGAACCCCAAGCAGAGTGACTGGAAAGCCCAGGGTTTATAGCAGTAGCTTCTGGGGCCTGCTCTTTTGTCACTTCTACTGTGGTTGGTGGCTTCTTGTAGGGACTGTGAGGTGTGGGAGGGAGGGAGAGTGCCTATGGAACTGTGGCAAGATGTACTTATGGTGCCCCGTGTGTGTGTGTGTGTGTGTGTGTGTGTGTAGAATTGTATGCTTTGGTATGGAGAGAGTATGTGTTTGTGCAACCATATGTGTTCAGGAGCTCAAATGTATGTTTGCGCAGCTGCATTGATGTCTTCGTGGGTGACTATGAGACCGTTTCTTTGGCAATGTACGTTTCCGATAGGAGATTGCATCTGTGTTAAAGGGGTATGAGTTTCTTTGTATGTATTGTGTTAGGAGAGAATTGTGCCTGAGTGGAAATGCCTTTGCATAACACAGTGTCAGGACAACCATAAAGGATGATTTAAAATGCACTTTTTTTTTTAGAGGGTTTTGCTATAGGGTGCGTGCGCTCGCCAGACAGAGAGAGAGACAGAGAGATAGAAAGTGAGAAATCACTCCCCACGGGGGATGGCCATGCTGCAATCCCATCTCCTCCATTCTCCTCTTGGGATCTTGGGCACACATGCACACGTGCCCGGCGTGAGTTTTAAGCCACCGGGTCCGGGACACGAACCACGGTAGACTATGTGGGAGTCCAGCGACATAGCCATTATGCTAACTGCTGGTCCCTAAAATGCACTTTTGATGATTTCTTATTGCATATTGAATAAACCTGAAAGTCCCTTATCTTTTTTTTTTTTTTTGAGAGTTTTTTGCTATAGGGCGCGTGCGCTCGCCAGACAGAGAGAGACATAGAGACAGAAAGTGAGAAATCACCCCCCAGGGGGTATGGTCACGCCACAGTCCCTTCTCCTCCATTCTCCTCTTGGGATCTTGGGCACACATGCACACGTGCCCGGCGTGAGTTTTAAGCCACCGGGTCCGGGACGCGAACCACGGTCGACTACGTGGGAGTCCAGCGACATAGCCATTACGCTAACTGCTGGTTCCCAAAAGTCCCTTATCTATTGTAATACACAAGCCATGGAGTGTCCTTTTCATTCCCCTTTCATTCAGTCTTCAAACTTCTTTACCAACTCATCCCTCTCAAACCGGTTAAATAAGTCTCCTTAGCATACACTGAGCTTATTTCACTTCCATGCCTTTGTGTACACTTGCTACCCTGTGAAACAGAATGCCCCTTTCCCTCAATTCCCATCCATGTCACAGGGCCCAGCTCATTTTGTGCAATGAGTACTCCAAACAAGACCTCCAATCTTCTTCACACCTAACCTGCTCCTGCCCTTGCTGCTTTAGTAAATGGTGTTGGGGGAGGAGGCAATGTATTTATGCTTTGAGAACCTAAATTGTATGCTGTAAAGATGTACAATAATTAAATGTAAATAATAGATGTATATACTTTATCAGAATTGAATGAACTCTGCTGGATATTCCATTTTAGAAATGGGGATCTGATGTTTCTCTTCCTTCATTCTGCAATTGGATCAGTTACTGTCTTCTAAGTCCTTAATTCTGCCTTGTTTGTTTTCTTACCTATTAAATAGGCCTTCCCTAAAACTCAGCAACTTTGTTTCCCCTAGTTGATTTCTAGAATTTATGTAATTATTATATCTGGCTGCTCCACTGATGCTATACATGTGGAAGAACTCATGGATGTTATGTAGGGGTGAGATGATGGAAGGGGCTATATCCCTCTGGAAAGTTTTCCAGGATCATGGTGGCTGCTTTATGTCATGAGAGCCCAACATCCCACTAAAAGAAGAAAAGACCATAGAGGGATCTTTGGCTATAAACATTGTTGAATTGGAGGCGAACCTTATATTCATGTTCTTGCAGTTGCCAACATCTTCTGATAATGTGTTTTGCCTTTGTGATAGCATGTGAGTTGTCATGGTGATAGCAGATAAGAGGAGTTGGGGAGTTGGGAAAGGATGAGAGGAGGAGTTAAATTTATTTAAGTCTTTGTGAAAGTGTGCTGAATTTGGGATTTTATACCTCTGAGCTTGAGAAGCCAGGTCATCAGGAAATAGCATAACCAACAATCTTTGTTTGCCTAGGAATGAGGACATTTTGGAAACATGGAACTTGGAGTTTTCATTTATTTATTTATATTTTAAAAGCATTATTTTTATTTAAATTTATTTATGTATTTAAATTTGACCATGGAGTGAGAGAGAGAGTGAGAGAGAGAGAAAGTGAGAAAGCAAGCCATCAGATCTGGGACTCGAACCACAGTCGGCCATGTGGAAGTCCAGCACCCTTAACCCCCAAGCCACCTGCTGGCCCCTTGGAGTTTTTATTTTTTAAGAGAGATTTTTGCTATAAGGCATGTGGGCTTGCTAGAGAAATAGAGAGACAAAAAGTAAGAAATCACTTTCCAGGGATGGCTGCATTGTAATCTCTTCTCCTCCATTATCCTCTTGAGATTTTGGGCATTCACACACATGTGCCTGGGATGTTTTAAGTTACCAGGTCTGAGACTCGAACCACGGTCAACTAAGTGGGAGTTCAGCAACATAACCATTATACCACCTCCTGGTCCTGTGACTTGGAGTTTTAAAACTAGGATGAATTAATCACTCTGTAAGGAAACTTACAACTTTCTCTAAAATTTAAGGAGATGGTCTTACCCATGTTCTTCTCTTCATTAGCTTGGGGCTTCCAAGAATTCCATAGCTAAGACGGAGTACTACCTTCTAAGGGAGCCTTCAGTCTTCCTGGAGTCTAGATGTGTGGTAGCTGATTTCTCGTTGAAGACGAGGGTAGAGGGGCAAGGCCAGCTCCTGTTAGGGCCCAAGAGAGAGCCTCCATGTGTCCTGCTGGGTGGTCACAATGAAGCATTGTTTGGGTCCCATCCTTCCACCCTTGCCTCACCTCAGCCATGGTCAGGAGATCATGTGGGAGCTGACATTGAACTCTGGCTATGTTCCACCTCTCTGGGTGCTTTTGCCCTTAACCTTCAGTGTTCTTTCCTGTCCTGCTCCTACATGGAGAGGATTTCCACACAGTGATGTGCCTTGAAACTTGCTCATGTGTAACTGAGTCAAGGACACAAAGAAAATCTGTAAAAATTTTGAACTCAGGCCAACTGGTGGTGTGGTGAAGGCAGCTGGATTCCACATAGCCAATTGTGTGGTCTGAGAACCCAGAAGCTTGAAAAACATGCCAGGTGCATAGGTGTGCATGCCCCAAATCCTGAAAGGAGATAGAGATAGAGGAGGCGGGATTGTGGTGTGATCATGCCTCAGGGAGAGTGCTTTCTCACTTTTTCTCTCTCTCTGTGCTCTCTGCCAGACTTAAAAACAAACAAACAAACAAACAAACAAAAATCCTGAACTCTGGGTAGATGAAAGCCCTAAGAGCACTGGGTTTGGAGGATCCTCTGTGACACAAGTGGCACTGCAGTTACCATTGCCCAGGAGGTCAAGACTGTTGCATTCCCTCTCCTAATTCCAACTTGACCTCTGGATATCGTAACCTTAACACAAAGCAGTCATAATATTAATCTGCCCTAAAACCACCAAGTGAGAACTATGTTGATTCCAAGTATGCCAAGGTTCTTCTAAATTCTGGCTCTATGTGAATTCATGCATGCTCTTCACTCTGAATGAAACTTAACTAAGTAACAATAACAAGCCCTTACCCTTACACTTTAAGAAACTTTTTTTTTTTTGAGAGAGATTCTTGCTGTAGGGCGTGTGTGCTCACCAGAGAGACAGAGACAGAGAGACAGAAAGTAAAAAAGCACCCCCCTGGGGGGGATGGCCATATCACAATTCCTTCCCCTCCAGTCTCCTCTCGGGATTATGGGCACACACGCACATGTTCCTGGCAAAAGTTTTAATCCGCTGGGTCTAAACCATAGTCGAATACTTGGAAGTCCAGCCACGTAACCATTATGCCATCTGTGGGTCCCAAACATTAAGAAACATTAATCATTATCCATAACTCTAATTTTTAAGTTAAAGTGACCCCAAAAATGTCAGTTTGAAACCTAAAATATTCTTATGTCTAACTCTCATTTAGTTTTGATGCTAGCCCAACTTCTAATAGCAACCAGACTGTGACAAGATTATCAGAACATTGTTTGTATACCAACTTAAGTTGAATCTAATATGAACTAAACTCTAACTCAAATTTAATCTAGCAATGCAAATGAAAATTAAACTCCAATTTTTTTATTTTTTAGAGGTTTTTGCCATAGGGTACATGTGCCTGGCAGAGAGAAAGAGAGAGAGACAGAGATAGTGAGAGGGAAAGTGAGAAATTACCCCCCAGGTGGGATGGCCATGCCCAAATCCCTTCTCCTCCATTCTCCTCCTAGGATCCTGGGCACTCATGCACACATGCCCAGCATGAATTTCAAGCCACCATGTCTGAGACTTGAACCATGGTTGGCCATATGATAGTCTAGCAACCTAACCACTGTGCCATCTGCTGGCCCCTAACTTCAGTCTTAATCTTAGCCCTACACTTTAGTCTTCAAATAGTTCTAATAGTTCTAACAAGATTCAAGTTAATCCAGGTTCACTACTAAACATTCCAGATTGCTTCTTGAGATTTTACCTAATCTAATTGTAACCTATACTAACCCTACTCATAGCCTACTCTGAACCCTAAACTAATCCTAACTGGTGTCATAATTCTGACCTCTCCCTATCATATGCCTGGGCTGGTGTAACTTTTTTTTTTGGAGAGGTTTTTTTCACTATAGGGCGCATGCGCTCGCCAGACAGACAGAGAGAGACATAGAGACAGAAAGCGAGAAATCACCCCCCAGGGGTATGGTCACGCCACAGTCCCTTCTCCTCCATTCTCCTCTCGGGATCTTGGGCATGCACACACACGCACCCGGCGTGAGTTTTAAGCCACCAGGTCCGGGATGTGAACCGCGGTCGACTAAGTGGGAGTCCAGCGACATAGCCGTTACGCTAACTGCTGGTTCCCAGGGCTGGTGTAACTTTGATAAACTGCAAACCACCTGCTAGGATTTTAGGAGTGAGCTTTTGTATGTTCTGGTGCTGTTAAGCCATTTTTCTGAGAGATGGAATACACAGGCTACAATGGAGAGATGTTTGCCTCAGCGGGTGCCATTCCATTCTTTGGCGAGAGTGGATTCTAAAGATGTCTCCTGAGGCCAAGGAGAACAAGGAGACTCACTGGTCACAAGGAAACTTAAAAGAGCCAGAATTTAGAACTTTGGGATACTCAGAGTCAACGTAGCTCTCACTTGGCATTTCAGGGCAACAGCCTCTTACCAGTACAAGTGGCAAATAACCCTTCAAATGTTACTTCATCTATTAATATTTAGGAACTTTCATCTTTTGAACATTGAGGAAACCAAGCAGCTCCTTAGCAGCACTCACCTGGCCTTGATTCTGGACCTAGACCTAGCCCTCAATTGCCTCTAGATTCCTGCTTCCCTATCGTATGCTTACATTTTCCCTCTTAAAATCTCTTACACAATGATAAAAGACAACCAAACCAGAGGAACATCCATCTTTCCCCACACTGATAGGGGCCAGAAAGTGTGTCTTCATAGTTAGATCTAATCAGACTCGCTGGACCAATCACTGGTGGCCCTGTTCTGGACAGCAGAATCGACTCCAGGTCCGCCTGAGGGCCTCCTTGACCTCCTTATTGCGGAGGCTGTAGATGAGCGGGTTGAGAGCGGGAATGACAAGGGTATAGAACACAGATGCCATCTTGTCGGTGTCCAGGGCATAGCTGGAGCTGGGACGCAGGTACATGAAAATAAGCGTGCCATATAGCATGGCCACAGCTGTGAGGTGGGAGCCACAGGTAGAGGCTGCTCGCCGACGGCCCTCTGCCGAGCGCATGCAAATCACGGCCCCTGCAATGAAACCATAAGACACGGCAATAGCCAACACCGTGGCTGTCTGGATGAAGCCACAGACGGCAAAGAGGAGAAGTTCATTGAGACTGGTGTCATCGCATGAGATGGCCAGCAGTGGAGGGATATCACAGAAGAAGCTGTTGATCTCCTGGGAATGGCAGAAGCTCAGGCGGAAGGTGAAGGTCGTGTGGACAAAGGCACTCACTGCGCCACACAGGCCTGATGCCCCCAACAAGGCCAGGCATAGACGTCGTGACATAGCTGTTGTGTAGAGAAGAGGGTTTCCAATGGCCACATAGCGGTCGTAGGCCATGGCTGCCAACAGGCAACACTCAGCATCAGCCAGCCCTGCAAAGACAAACATCTGGAGGGCACAGGCTGCATAAGAGATGGTGGCATGGGGCAGCAGCAGGTCCACAAGCATCTTGGGGCCTATGGCTGAGGAATAGCAGGCATCCAGCAGGGAGAGGCTGGCCAGGAAGAAGTACATAGGCGAGTGCAGCCGGGTATCCACACGGATCAGCAGCACCATGCCCACGTTCCCCAGCAGGCTCACCAGGTAGACAGGCAAGAAGACCAGGAAGAGGGTCACACGTAGGTCCCAGCGATCTGTGATGCCCAAGAGAATGAATTCACCAGGAGCAACCCTGGCCCAGGTGAGGTTCTGTGAGTTCATCTCATTGGACGGAGACTGAGGAGAGGCCAAGCAAGAGGGAGATGAGGGAAAGGTCATGACAATTGTGAAGGAGAAAATTCTGCGTACTGGGAGTCAGGTGGACCTGGTTTTCAGTCCTAACTGTGCAGCAAATTGCTGTGTGACTTTGGGCATGCCACACGACCTCTCAACACCTTTGTATTTAACTCTGAGAAGTCTTTGCAATTTAATCTTCATTAGGAGAGGAGTCTTGTCTGTCTTACTCCTTTTTTATCCATAGTATTAAGATTATTTCCTAGGCTAGCCGGTGGTATAGTGATTAAGACACTTGGTCCCACATAGCTGACTGTGCAGTTCAGCCCAGATCTGGCTGCTTGAGAAACACACTGGTGCATGTGCATGCGTGCCTAAAATCCCGAGAAGAAAATGGAGTAGAGATTGCAATGTGGTTGTCCCTCCTGGGGGATTGCTTTGTCTCTCTCTCTCTGTCAAGTGCACACACCCTATATATAAAAAAAAAAAAATTCAAGTCCCAGACCTGGAAGCTTGAAAAATCATGCCATGCACATGTGTGTGCATGCCCAAATTCCCAAGAGGAGAATGAAGGAGAAGGAATTATGCCACGGCTATCTTTCCTCCCACCCCGCTAGGGGGTGATTTCTCACTTTTCCTTTCACTGTCTCTTTTTGTCCCCAGTGAATGCATGTGTCCTATGGCAAAAACCTTAAAAAAAAAAAGAAAAAAAGAAACAATTTTTTTTTCCTGCCATATAGCCTGTGTGCAATAGATAAATGGTTAAATGAAAAGGTAATCAATGGGACGATACTCATTGTGTCAGGTCAAGGTTGAACACTTCATGAGTCTATATGCATTCTCCTCCCCAGTTTCCTATGGAGGAAAAGAGACAAAAGAATGGGCACAAGGAGTCTTCTAATCTTGTAGGTTTTGAGGTTTTCTGGGAGGACATCTTTCCAGTGGAGTAAGACCTGGGAAAGGAGGAGCTTGGTGTCTTGGGGAGACAGTGAGGAGTAGAAGGAACAGAGAAACAGAATGTGAGTGTGTACCTGAGCTGGATTCTTCTTCCCTCATCCCCTCAACTTTCTCTCTGTGTAATGGGGGGAATGCCGCAAGGATTCAAAATTCATGTAAAGCCCCTCACACAGGACCTGGTGCACAGCAGGCATTTAATGAAGGTCCAATGAATTGAGTTGAACTAAACTGGTTGTTTTGGCTCCACACTGGAAGGTTACAAATTTAAGGTAATCAATAGAAAGTTCTGTAATTCCCAGAAAGTGCACTGTTGCTTCATATTCCCATGACTTTGCACTTGTTTCTGTCTGCCTAGACCCCTTTTCCTCTTTTTGTGCAAAATGACCTTCAGTGTAAAGCATTCTGAGATATACCCAAAGGAAACCAAACTTCTCCCTTGAAGGTGCCCTGCTGTTCCAGAGCATACATCTAGTACTTCACTATTCTCCTGCAAATGTTTCGTCTGGCCATTGAGCACCCTGGTCCAATATTAATTTAGGAAATATTTATTGAGTATTTACTATGTGCTAAAAATGACCCTGTAATTCATTTTCGTATCTCCAGGGTCTGGTATACAATCAGTGCTCAATAAATGTTAGTTGAAGGTATGACCCAGTGAGAGTGTACGGGCATTAGCAGCATGCAGACTTCATTTTGAGTCTGCGTTCACCACTTTCTGGTGTGTAAATTCAGACAGGTCGCTCCGCTTCTCTTAGCCTCAATTTTCTCTTTAAAAAGTAGCAATTAATATATCTCTTTTGGAGAGTTCTAAGAGGCAAATGATGCAGCATAGGGCCTGGAACCGAGTAAATGCACCTCTCCCCACCCCTTTTTAAGTGTAGGGGTTGGCAGGTGACCTGGTAGTTAAGGTACTGGACTCCCACATGGTCAACCATGGCTTGAGTCCTGGACCTGGCGGCTTGCTTTCTCACTTGACCTCTCTCTGTCTCTTTATGGTCAAATTAAAAAATAAATAAATAAAATAAAATAATTATCTTAAAAAATAAACGTCTAGGTATTTGGGACCTGCTTCAGCCCAGGGAGAATTATGACAGCTTTCTGCAAAGAATGACTTGGATGACAACGTTTTGACAACATTGCATGTCGGGGAGGTTGTGCTTGTGGAAGTGTAAATTGGGACATTTCCCACAACTATGCATACCCCAGTATCTTACTTTACTTAGGTTGCCATAAAAAGTGCCATTGCCGGGAACCAGCAGTTAGCGTAATGGCTATGTTGCTGGATTCCCACGTAGTCGACCGCGGTTCGTGTCCCGGACCCGGTGGCTTAAAACTCACGCCGGGCGCATGTGCATGCGTGCCCAAGATCCCGAGAGGAGAATGGAGGAGAAGGGATTGCGGCGTGACCATCCCCCCGGGGGGTGATTTCTTGCTTTCTGTCTCTATGTCTCTCTGTCTGTCTGGCGAGCGCACGCGCCCTATAGTGAAAATCCCCCACCCCCCAAAAAAGTGCCATTGCCTGGGGGACTTAAACAGTGGACATTTATTTCTCATAGTTCTGGTGACTGTGATCAGGGTTCCAGCACAGCTGGATTCTGCTGAGGGTCCTCTTAGCTCACAGAACGCTACCTTCTTGCTGTATTGTCACATGGTAGAGAGAGAATGAGTAGGACACACAGACTCTCTGGTCTCTTGTAGGAGCATTAATCCTATCTGAAACATATTACCTTCCAAAGTCCTACCTTCAAATACTATTACTGTGGACTAGGATTATTATTTTTTTGAGAGGTTTTTGCTATAGGACATGTGCGTTCTCCAGAAAGACAGAGAGACAGAGAGAGAGAAAGTGAGAAATCACCCCCGAGGGGGGATGGCAATGCTGCAGTCCCTTCTCCTCTATTCTTCTCTCGGGATCTTGGGCATGAACACACACACACCTGGTGCGAGTTTAAGTCACCAGGTCCGGGACTCGAACTGTAGTCGACTACATGGGAATCCAGCAACATAGCCATTACACTAATTGCTGGCACCCTGGGGACTAGGATTTCAACATCATTTTTTTTCGAGATGCAACCCACTCAGTCCATGGCATTTAGCAATTTCACCTTTAGGTGTTTACTTTTGAAAACTTTCAGATGTCTGCTCACAGATACATGAATAATGGTGCATGCACTCCCAGACTGCTTGTAGTGGCCAGACATTAGTTCCACTCAAATATTTATCAGTAGGTTCATGGGCATTCTACAGGATGGCAGCCAACCTAAATGTACCAATATGGAGAAATCTCAAAAACATATTGAGATAAAAAAGTAATTTGCATAAAAACATACAGATTGATTGAAAAAACCCCACAGAACAATGGTATGTCTTTAATATATATATAATGTATGTAAAATGTACTGCTGGTTGTTCCATAGATAAGTCTCTGGCTAAAGGATCCCCGGGCATCTTAGAGGAGTTTATCACCTTTGCTCCCTTTCCCATATCCAGAGTGAACTCTTCTTACCTTTTAGGACTTGGCTCAGGGATCATCTTTTCCAGGAAGCTTTGTCTGAACACCCAACTGCCCAACCGCCCAGGCCTGTCTGTATCACACTCCTCCTGCACTGTTTTGTAATCACTGAAGTGCTTATCTCTTCTCACCCAGTCAAGCATCTTGAGGTCTGGAACCATGTCTAATTCATCCCTCTATCCATAGGGATACAGGATTTTGGGTCTCTTGGAGGCCTAATAGATTTTATGGGTAGAGAAAACAGTGAGGATCCAGCTCCACCCAACTTAATGTTCTCTTTTGAATGACATCAGCTGCCTGGATGAAGTTCCACATACAGAACCACATACACATACTAACCTCCTATGTTTTAGTGGAAAGCAAACGCCACTCACCTTCATAAAGTGAAAGGCAGAGTTGTTTCAATTGCCTCTCCATTTCTCCATCTGTAAAATACAATAAGACCTTAAGGTTTTTAAGCTGCTTTGAAATATTTCGGTGCGGAAACCAGCAGTTAGCGTAATGGCTATGTCGCTGGACTCCCACATAGTCGACCGCGGTTCGCGTCCCAGACCCGGTGGCTTAAAACTCACGCCGGGCGTGTATGTGTGTGTGCCCAAGATTCCGAGAGGAGAATGGAGGAGAAGGGATTGCGGCGTGTCCATCCCCCCTGGGGGGTGATTTCTCGCTTTCTGTCTCTATGTCTCTCTCTGTCTGTCTGGCGAGCATACACGCTCTATAGCGAAAAATCCTCTCCAAAAAAAAAAAAAAATTTGGGAGCAAGGACCCTAAAATTTCAGTTAAGTTGGTATTGTGAAGTGTGTGTGTATGTATGTGTGTGCGTGTTTGCATAGAGTTAAGTCTTCATTAATTTCTTTCTTTTTTTTTTTTTTTGAGAGGTTTTTGCTATAGGGCACGTGCTCTCCCCAGAAAGACAGAGACAAAGACAGAAAGCATCTCCAGGGGGAATGGCCATGCCGCAATCCCTTCTCCATTCTTGGGCACACACGCACACGCGCCGGGCATGATTTTAAGCCACCGGGTCTGGGACTCGAACCATGGTCGACTACATGGGAGTCCAGCGACATTACCATTACACTAACTGCTGGTCCCAAGTCTTTGTTAATTTCTTACTCTTGCCTTACTACCCAGGAGGAGCAATCCTGACACTCTAGGTTCAGTGCAGGACTTGCCACTGAAACGTGGTGAGTCACATTTCCATAAGGGATAGCTTCTGGGTTTGCCCATAGGGGATAATTGTGCTAGAAAGGGTGTAGAAGATAACAGTCTGAACTTTTGGACCCCGTTTTAGCCTCAAGTAGTCTTTCTTGTATCTAACGTTCATGCTTCTGTCTGATTCTACATTCATCTCTCAGTCCCTGAGCTTAAAGCTTCTGAAGTCTGTCTATATATGTATGTATATAATTTTCTGTCTATCACTTATCAATTGGTCAATCTACTCAACATAAATTTATTTTTTTAAAGAATTATTTTTATGTATTCATTACTTTTTTTTGAGAGAGTTTTTTTTGCTATAGGGTGCATGCGTTTGCCAGCCAGACAGAGACATAGAGACAGAAAGCGAGAAATCACCCCC